AAGTTGGACCTGAATGATCGCCAGAGATAAACAAAGCTAGACCTGAATGGTCGCCAGAGGTAAACAAAGTTAGCCCTGAATGGTCGCCAGAGGTAAGCAAAGTTAGACCTGAATGGTCGCCAGAGGTCAGCAAAGTTAGACCTGAATGGTCGCCAGAGGTCAGCAAAGTTAGACCTGAATGGTCGCCAGAAGTAAGCAAAGTTAGACCTGAATAGTCACCAGAGGTAAACAAAGTTAGACCTGAATGGTCGCCAGAGGCAAACAAAGTTAGACCTGAATGGTCGCCAGAGGTAAACAAAGTTAGACCTGAATGGTCGCCAGAGGCAAACAAAGTTAGACCTGAATGGTCGCCAGAGGCAAACAAAGTTAGACCTGAATGGTCGCCAGAGGTAAACAAAGTTAGACCTGAATGGTCGCCAGAAGTAAGCAAAGTTAGACCTGAATAGTCACCAGAGGTAAACAAAGTTAGACCTGAATGGTCGCCAGAGGCAAGCAAAGTTAGACCTGAATGGTCGCCAGAGGTAAACAAAGTTAGACCTGAATGGTCGCCAGAGGCAAACAAAGTTAGACCTGAATGGTCGCCAGAGGCAAACAAAGTTAGACCTGAATAGTCACCAGAGGTAATCAAAGTTAGATCTAACTGGTAACACCGGTTGCAGAGTCGCCGCTATCAACTCTGCAGCTTTCCAGCGCGTGGCATCTTCGTTACCATCGTGGTATTATCGCTGCCACCACTGTGCTACCGGCCATAACAAGAATCTTGAAATCCCCCTCTTACCCCAAATGTGTTTACGTAGTAACATTTATATGTTTGGGTATGGCTTTGGGAATGCCAGCCATTATAGTGAATTGGGAGAAGGTTTACGACTGATTTACGATTTCCCAGATGAATGTTTCGCTTGTTTGTTTAATCAGGGTCGGTCTAGATTGCAGACAAACGGTATTGCATACATTGTTACTATACCAATTACATGATAGTTGAAATGAAATAGAAATTCTAAATTAATTGACAAACGTAGAAACAATCATTCAGCTCGGGAAAGAGTATTTGGCGTCAACATCACTTGTTTTTAAACAGAAAGTTGCAAGTTCAGCTCCATGCACGGTTGCAGACCGCCAAGAACAGGGGGAACAGTGGCAGCGCTAAAATAGAGAGCTCCGAGAACGAACTATCGCTGTTGGGAGCTTCTATCTGTGGAAGTTTCGTCAGATGCCAGATTCGCCCTCATTATAACTCTTGCCAGCATCATTCTTGTGCTTGTGGCTGTTACCAAAGTGATGAACGCCTGAGACACAAGTGTGGATCAATACTTATTCTTCGTCAAATCGGTCGTCTGAACAGTTGCTGCAGCCATTTGAAACCTTGGAATGATCATTGCTAAATGACGAAGCGGTGTTTGAAGAACTGGACTGCCCAATTACTATTAAAGAAATAGAGAGTGTTATACAAAATTAAGAAATATTATTTACTAAATTTGTCACATTTAACCGTTTTTTCTCAAAACTCTGTACACTTGGACCAATCACTAGAATGTAGATGGACATAACACTATATAGGGTGCCCAATTTGCGTACAATGCTTGATTTTACACGGTAGATTATCTAAGTTTATCATCCAAAACTGGCTCCCACAGGAGATATCGCTTGGATTAGATCAAGCGATATCTACACTGTAGATATCGCTGCAATGAAATTACATCACAATGCTTTGCAGACCATTGTGACGTCACGGGTTACAATGACGTCACAATCAAATGACATCATTAATGGCTCTGCTACTGAAGCTGTTAGCATTTCTTTTTACACTGAAGACACTGCTAATTACTGTCTACAAATTGAAAAAGTTGGAAGAATGATGTTGGATGATAAATAAAATCTCACCCTCGTGTCTTTTGATATCAAATATAACAACACTCGTTAATAAAAGTGGAAAAAAATCCTCGGCAAGCCTCGGAAACGCCCACTTTTATCAACACTTATATTTGATATCAAAAGACACTCGAGTGAGATTCTCTATGTATTAAATATCAAAATAAATCTCAGGCGAGCATGGATATTGCACTTTTGTAGATCTCGTATAACATATCCTGACTTGACAATACAGGGAGCGGATTGAACAATCATCTAGTTAATGTAGTTTTCCCGGGCACACAATCAATGAATGTAGGACCCTTTTTTCATTTGTTTGTTCTTCGTGCTTTGTTGTCGTTTCTGAAGAAAAATCAATTGCTGTGTAGATTTATTATATGGAAGTCAATGTTTACGCATATTACAGGCAACTTCAAATTAAGTGCACTACACCGCTTAGACAATTTGTGAATGTGTGTGTAGTCGGGTATGTTCATTTACAAATATGGCGATTATTGTTTGTGTTGATATGACCCAGGAGCGTGATGTATTGACAGGGCAAGGGAACGTCAATTTCTGAGCTGCAGATAACGAAAAATGATACAGTTATGGCCGTGGGTAATGGGATCAACACATGGGCAATGGATTTTGTGTCAGAATATTGAACATATAACCAAAGTTTAGTAAAGAATGTATGATGCTTCACACACACGCACGCACGCACGCACACACACACACGCACGCACGCACACACACACACACACACACACACACACACACACACACACACACACAGACACACACGCACGCACGCACGCACGCACGCACGCACACACACACACTTGATTAAACCAACAAATCTAAGTCCACAATGACGAACACATGAAACTGAATCTATCTGATCAATCTAAGGTTTCAAATGGATGTAGCAACTGTTTAGACGAACGATTTAACGAAGAATAAGTCTATTGATCCTCACTTTAGTCTTCGACGTTTACACATTAGTGACAGCCACAAGCACACGAATGATGCTGGCAAGAATTATAATGAGGGCGAATCTGGGGATTTGAAGAAACTACCACCCCCAACAGCGATAGCCAGTTCTCGGAGCTCTCTATTTTAGCGCTGCCACTGTTCCCCCTGTTCTTGGCGGTCTGCAACCGTGCATGGAGTTGAACTTGCAACTGTCTGACCGCTATGTTTACAAACAAGTGATGACTGTCTTTACGCCAAATTCTCTTTTGCAAGCTAAATGATTGTTTTTCTACGTTTGTCAATTTGAATTTCTATTTCATTTCAACTATCATGTGATTGGTATAGTAACAATGAATGCAATACCGTTTGTCTGCAATCTGGACTCAACCTGATTAAACAAACAAGCGAGACATTCATCTGGGAAATCGTAAATCAGTCGTAAACCTTTTCCCAATTCACTATAATGGCTGGCATTCCCAAAGCCATACCCAAGCATATAAATGTTACTACGTATGTACATTTTGGTTAAGAGGGGGATTTCCAGATTATTGTAATGACCTAGGGGGCACGGATGTCCCAGTCGTCTTAGGCGCCGCGATTCCCTGTGCAGAGTTGCGTCCCTTGGTCACATCAGAAACCTATGGTTGTCGGTTCAAATCCTGGTTCGACCCGATTATGTTTCTAGGTTTGTCAGCACCATACCCGTGCTCGTGGGTTTCACCGAAGTGGTAAACGTCTGAGACCTGCATCACTTCGGGCTTTCCTCCTACATTAAGCTGACACACCGCGATATAACTGGAATACTGTTAAAAGCGGCGTTAAACCCAACTCACTCACTCACTCACTCACTGTTATGGTTGGTAGCAAACTGGTGGCAGCGATAATACCGCGAAGGTAACGAAGGTGCCACGCGCTGGAAAGGTGCTTGCTCAGGCACGCCCAAATGCCGCAACTCTGCAGAGTGAATTGCGGCGCCTAAGACGACCATGCAACCCGTGTTACCAGTTGGGTCTAACTTTGCTTACCTCTGGTGACTATTGGGATGGTTCAAATCTGACGAGAGGAAGGCAATATTCTTTGGTTCATTGCATTGGGTTTCAAAGGTTGATTTTCAAATTGGGTAGGGTGGGGTCGAACCCCATGACCTGCCCCTCCGGATGATTTTTTTTTCTACAATAAATTATCGTCGATCGAAAATCGATAGCCCCTGTTCCGACATTCTCGTGACCAAGAATAGGACAAAGACAATGACATATTAGACTGAATGTTCCTCGACAGGTATATATCTGTCAGAAGTATCTCTCATGAACAAATTCTAGCTAATATTGTGGACCCAGGTGATAGCGGTCTCCTTGTCTCACAGCATCCCTCGTGACGTGGACCCAGGTGATAGCGGTCTCCTTGTCTCACAGCATCCCTCGTGACGTGGACCTAGGTGATAGCGGTCTGCTTGTCTCACAGTATCTCTCATGACGTCGACCCAGGTGATAGCGGTCTCCTTGTCTCACAGCATCCCTCGTGACGTTGACCCAGGTGATAGCGGTCCCTTGGTGTCACAGCATCCCTAGTGACGTGGACCCAGGTGATAGCGGTCTCCTTGTCTCACAGTATCCCTCGTGACGTGGACCCAGGTGATAGCGGTCTCCTTGTCTCACAGTATCTCTCGTGACGTCCACTGTCTTTCAACCAATGGCTACTGTTTCTTTGTATTCAGTTTACTAAGTGGGAGTTGCCTACCTATTTCCCTAAGGTTGAAAAGCCCCCAGCAGTACAAAAGCCTCAGTAAATCTAACGGATCAATACTCCAGCGTCCCCTCCCAGATATGGTTATATAACCAAGATCTTGTACGCAGGGAGAGTTTCCAGGGAGAGTTGAGCCGACGGATAAACTGAGGCTTGGGAATGTGACATTTGAAGGCACAAAAGTTCTATGTAATTTTTTAAGCGGAATAACATCACCAGCGATTAATTTACGACCTGCTTTATCATGGCCATAGACTTATTACCGAACTAGATATCATCGCTTTTGGCACAGTAAAGAAGCCCAACCGAGACGAAGATATACCATGGAATATTATAGTTTCTGATATTGTATGAACAGTTATTTGCTCATTTGGTAGAAACCGAATGCTGTGTACATGTGACGAATCAATACTCCAGCGTAGGATATGGTCATATAACCAACATCTTGTACGCAGGAAGATTTTCCAGGGAGAGTTGAGACGACGAATGAATCCAACACTTACCGACAGTATCCGCCGTCGCTCCAAGCAACAATTGTTAATATGACACAATCTATTTTGCAACAGCTGTTATTTCTAATGGCGGTGGCTTCAGCAGAAATACGACAACAACTTTATTCAGTGGCACGTGGATATCGTTTAATGAACCCACCCATGTCGACTGTGGGCTATAAACCTACCAAATGGTCTGCAATGTGGTGTCTGAATCACTGTCTGGCTTCATCTTGTGCAAGTGCTTCGTTCAGTCAGACTGAGGGTATCTGCGAACTACACAGTGTGAAGTTGTTCGATGGTGATTCAACATTTATGGAAAGCAACGATTGGGTTTACATGGAACCCAGATCAGGTACGATTGTTTACATTATTTTGTTGTCTGTATACTATATGAAATGATATCCATACGTTCTCAAGAATCTTTCAGAATATAAATTATTTTAATCATCAAATATTTATTCTATTTTAAATCTCGGAAAGGGGTACGAGAATTCATAGACCCTGAAACCAATAAAGCCCATGTCATACTGATGTCATCTCCCGATGACTCTTGTTATCCTGGTGAGGAGAGGGGATGGTTTATAAACGTTTTTCATTTCTGGCTAAAAATGAATAGAAACATTGATGAGCTAATTGCTTTGTTACTGATGAAAGCAAATATACAGAACATCCGTCTTTAGTTTTGTGGGATTGGTACAAATAGACAACTGTCTATTCAAATCAAAAGAAGTCGGCTTCAAGTATTTCCTCACCTCGATATTCTCGACACACGTTATTTGCAGAACATCCCCGATGTACTGACGTTTTCAATCAGAAGACATGGCTCTGTCTTTGTACCTCCAATAAAAAGTTTTCTCCTGTTTGATGCTGCATCAATCACCCTGTCCACATAGTGCAAACAGAACCTTCAGGTGTTGTAGAAATATTAAGTAACTTTGAAATCTTTGGAGAAGTTTCAATAGATCAAGTTGCCTTGACAAAGGAATCCCACCAGACTAACATCTAGTCTCTGAAATAAAGATATTTTACAGAATATAACATTTGTAAAATTATTGTTATAAATAATAATAAAAAGGAGCCAAGAGACTTTCTTCCTGATACTGCAGTAATCTAGACTTGCCAAACATTATAGACTTGCATGGACTGTATTAGATATATAATAATATATAATAGATATAGAATAACACTAAATGCCGCCTCTGAGCTGGTACCCCTGAGCTCCTCAAAATAGATTTCTGTACATTGGACACTTACAACCCTCAGTGAGAGGGTGTGTTTGGGGAGAAGTACTAGGCGCAGTAAACATTCCTGTCACACGCACCTTCAGTAGCAGGTCAGTAATGGGTGGTAGGAATCTTTACATGTGCTATGGAATTCCAAGGATCAAAGCTATGCACATTTGTTTGATCTCTGAAAATGAAGTAAGTCTTTTGGCTCCGTTTGATTACATTTTGTAACTATAACTTTTAAGAACTGTTTTTTCTCCCGTAAAAAATGTTCATTTGAGAGACTAGATGTTAGTCTATCTCGGGGTATATTGTGTGAAGTACCGCTTGCGGCACATAGACTACATCACCTTGAGACCGGTCGACAACTTACAGTATTACCAATAAGGGCCAGGATATCGGTGTAATTATTTTCAGTTATTCTCACTCATGTCGATCTGCTAATTAATGATAGTTGTTCCCACACTCCTCCGCAATGATGACTTGGCATTGCACCACTGCCATAAACCAATTTGCCCAGAACGAGAAATGACTTTTCTCTTGTTTGTACACACACTCGAAACTTGAAATGAGAGTAGTCGGTGATAATGGAAGTCTATCAGTTAGACAGACTGTATGTCAGACTTATTAAGATCTCCTTCTACCACGGCGACATTAAGGAGTATGACATTGTAACTTACACATCAAAGTGACCTTATCGCCAGCTGTCCGAAAATTTTCGCTGCCGGCATGTGGCGTGCACAACCATTGGCGTGTACAGCCATTCCATTCCAGACAAAGGTAGATACGCAAATGGAAATAGCTTTTCACGTTTTATGACATTTTCTCAATGAAAATTAACCATTTTGTTGCACATAGTTATTTAATTGTATAATCTGTTCGCAAGTGACAATACAGACATATATCAGTTGTTGAATGGACTGTGTAAGTCTCAAGGGTTGTCACAGTTTTCTGACTTGTGGAGAAGATACCATGTTGAACGCAAGAAACTTAGGCTAGAGACTGAATTTATTCTATATTTTCGTTTTTTTTCATCGGGAAGCGGACCATAGCAACGTGGCGCCACATAACTGTGACGTTACGAACAGTGGATGACGTTACAAACATATAGCTTCCAATTTCATATCATGTTTATGCCGCTTAAAAATATACCACTTGGGAAATAGACTTAATGTAATGGGAACGAGTTTTATTACCAACGATGTTTTCTGTCAGTTATCAACAACTTAACCCATCGTGTCTATGCGTCCTAATAAGGAGAGCTAAATGTGTATGAATACAAAGTATGGACAATGCCAACATAGAGCACACCCGAACATCCTGCAACATAAATATGGAGACTGCAGAATACTTTGGAAATCCATGCTTATGAGTGAGTGAGTGAGTGAGTGAGTGAGTGAAAATGGTTTAACACCGCTTTTAGAAATATTCCAGCAATATCACGGCGGGGGACACCATAAATGGGCTTCACACATTTTACCCATGTCGGGAATCGAACCCGGGTTTTCGGCGTGACGAGCGAACGCTTTAACCACAAGGCAACCCGACCGGTCCCCCATGCTAATGGTAAACCTTTGTCCCAACATAATCGCCTCACTTCCACTTATGTTATGCATTATATGCATGATATCTTACATCGATGAAACAACACTGCTATTGCCGTACTGATGAATCAGGCACACGTCAGGATTGTGTTCTTTACAGAGCACGCTGATTTGAAATATTATACCTACATATGGATGAGCAAACACAACATGTTAGCATATTGAAAGAAGCAAATTCAAGAAAAAAACAAGCCTGCGGGATGATTATCGACATTGTTAGGTTGACATGCACAAATTTGCTGCATGTGGCCATGTGAAAGCGTCAGATTCAAATGTTGTGTTGGAAAGGTGAGCCATCTGTCTGGAATTCATAAACGATAACCCATATATGATTCAGATGGTATGACAACATCATCAGCATAAGGACCGCCCCCGTGGTCCAGCGGACAGAGCGTCTGGTCGATGGTTCGGTCCCCTTGCTGCCTCATACCAAAATGACCAAAGATGGTACTTGTTGTTACCCTGCCTGGTGTCGACATTAAGGGAGAAAAGCAGGGACTAAATGCCTCGCAATCCCTATAATGTGTCTCAGTGGGGTATCTCTGTGAAACTGCGGCATGGTATTAAAGTGGGCTAGCACTATGATAACAGCACAAATCCAGACAAGTACAAGCAGCCACGCAAACGCGCATAATATATTTGAAATATACTTGAACGCGACGTTCTACATTTTACCTCACCTCATCAACATTGGTAAGTAACCTGAAGTAGGTCAGTATTCGTCTACATTCGTTTGTACATGGATATTTCAAACGCCTGATTCCCTTTGTTCGGACATTTTCCAATCAGACAGCAGGCAATTCTAAACGGAAATGTATTTTACATTTATCTCGACCAAGATCATTACACTTTATATTAAATGCTTGTGTAATTGAAGACATATATTATGCACATGTATCATGTTTACAATTTTGCACCATTGAATAAACATTCATTATATGGTATCCATTCTTAATTATGTTTGAAAATATACTCATGAATGAGTGAACTAATCAATCAATCAATCAATCAAAAGTAGTTCCAGAGTGGTCAAAGTTCGCGTATCAGCCTATCGAACTCCTAAACAAGTGCAATGACGCACCTGTTTTAAAAACAGTTTGTAATGTTTACCTGTTAACGTAATACCGCGTGGGTAATAACAAGTGACGTCGTTCCAGAATTAAATTGACTGATGTTTCTACTTGTGATCGGGAAACCCTCTGTTTTTCGTTGAAATGACTGTCCTTGGTAACTTATGGAACAACCTACTCCTAAGCCGTAGTTCCTCTTATCTTGTAGGTAATTCGTGAAATATAGGAATTGAAATATATATCTTGAAAGTATGATGGACTGCTTTGATAGAATTGGTTGCAAACTATTTTTCAACACTATCCCCTCCGAGGTCCACACACTTCTGCCAACATTGCAGGAGTGCCTGGATCTCACTGGAGTAGAAGGCTTCCGCCTGGTGGTGTAGAAGGCCTCCACAAGCGAAATTACGTCTTAATCATTTGCATAATGCTTGCCAGCCAGTTCTTTCTTCAAGTCTGGGAAGATGTGGAAATCTGAAGCCAAATATGGTGAAAACGAAGGATGTTTAATCAGTTCAAAGCCACATTAATGCAATGCAGCCATTACAACAACAGGTATGCACACAGGTGCATGTCCACGTGGTACAGCACACCTTAAGTGAGTTTCACATGACGTGTAATCTTGTGTAACGCCACATTGGCCATATTGACCTTTCCGGTGGTAGTCCATCAGTAGGATTCCTTTGAAATACCAGAAAACTGAAGCGATCACCTTGTCAGCTGATGGAACAGCTGATGTAACAGCTGACGAACAGCTGACGGTGGCTTCGCCGTAGGAGGAGACGTCAGATGTTTCCACTGTTTTGAATATTGTTTAATCTATGGAGTTTAACCCATGAATCATCCATGGTTACAAAATGCTTTACTAAAGCAATTCATTCTGCTTCGAAATGACGTTATTTCTCACGGGACGTACCTGAAACTGAAGGCTTAGAACCAAGAGCGCTGAAACCTTTGACATGCCCAGTTCATTCCTTAGGATGTTCTCAACCCTCTCATGAGAGAGATGCCTATTGTTTTCAACGCGTGTTGAATCGTCGATCACCAATGATAATACCATGTATCTAATCAACATTTTGCTGAGGGGTGGCACAGGTTGAAGGTCTTCCTAATCTTTGATGATCCCTCTTCCTCTCATGAACTCTGCTGCTCACCTCCTAACAGTGACAAAGAAAGGAACATCCTCCTCTAAGGTTGACATCATGTCCGCATGGATGGTAGTTGGAGTTTGTCCTTTCAGAAGGAGATACTTGATGACAGCATGGTAGCCAGTTTTGTCCATTTTTATCAACAGAGAATACCAAGTCACTCTGATGCCTGCCTGGTTCTATATGTGGTTCAAATGCATCCTGTAAGCTTGGAAAGTATTGTATTTAAGACATGCACACTTTCATGTGTGTACTGTATATCTGTCGTAGTTAGGCACATAACGTTTCAGCCACCCTTTGTACATCTTGTCTCGTAGGTGCTGGTTCTTCAGTAGTCTGAGGCACTGCAATTGCTTGTTCAGAGCTACACAAGAGCAAGTGTTATACTAAATATGAGATGACGAACTAAATATGGGTTTCTTAATGACATACTGAGCTATGTTTAGCGGCGTGGTTTTACTCTCGGCCAGAAAAAGCACTGACTTGTGCTTGAGAAAAGATCCTCGCCATTGGGGTCAATGACACACAGTCAGCTTGACCACCCAATCTTCATTAGTCTCTTCCTCTTGCCACAAGCATGAGATACCGGGGAGATGTTCTTCTCGGGAATCCACCCAGAAGTAAGTGGAATATGAGGCTTTTAGGACATTGATTTTACATAAAATAATGTGTTTTATATCGCATATGATCTTGCAGATGTGTTGTCCTGGGACGGGTGGACAGTGGTGTTCCGGGGCCAGAGTGAAACAGGGACGTCCATCTACTCAGCGTGGTTGGACGACAACCTCTACCACGACCTCCCACTTCTACCACCTCGATTGAAGCCTGGATGTTTCTCACCCAACACATCTCGTCCTTGTGATGATCATTTCAGAAGCAAGATTATCTCTACATGGGAAACAGCTAGTGTACAGCTGGTACGCACATATGAACGATTTTAGTTCGTCTCACATGTTGTCTAAGGTGGTTTCTTTGTTTGTTGCGCCTAAAGGAGATAGCAAAACATAAATTCGAGAACAATAATTTAATATTTGTTTATTGGCGTGTGAATGTTTTCCAACATATATATTACGCACGTACACACACACACGTACATTCGTACACACACACGTACACGTACTCACGCACGCGCACACACACGCACACACGCGCACGCACACACACACACACACACACACACACACACACACACACACACACACACACACACACACACACAAACACATGTGAGAAAATTGTATGAACAAACTAGCGTAGTAATTATGTCCTATACAACACACGGCCTAATGACGAGCACGATCATTCGTAATGCATAATGTTTATATGACACAAGGTTGTGAAAAAAAGAGGATAATTCAACACGAGCGATACCATTCCGAACTGGTTCCATTGTATCAGACCAATGCAAGAGCACTGCAGAAAATACATTTACAGTGGGCAAAAGAATTTATATCGTGTTTGTTTTTATGTAACTGAAAATTGAAACAACCGTTTTTGAGTTTTATTGGGTATATTTAACCTGCACCCATTCCTGAAACAGTTTATAGAAAGTAATCTGTGGCAGGGTAATTTTGTGTAAAAATAAACTGGTTCATTGAAGACTGGGTAAGAAATGAATTTGCAACCACGTGACCTCTACCATGTTTGAAATGTTTTTAATTTGTGCCGAAAAAAGCAAATTTAATTATTTTCAAAGACATCATGACTAGGTTTCCCATCAGCAGTTGTGTACTATGCGCATATTTTAATCTTTTTTTAAATCAAAATATATTTTAAAGCAAAACCATGTAGAAGTAATTTATTAGAACTGACTAAGCGCCAGTTCATTCAGTAGATATATTACAACTTAATTTAAAATGAAACATGTGAAACGAAAAATTTAGAGACACAGTTTCTTTTACTCTTCAGTTTATTATTTACATTTAGAGCATAACATTCATATTTATTAAATGAAGTAATTCAGAGAAGGTATGAATCATCTGAATGTGTTCAGTTGTTATAATTAGTTATAATCTCGCCAACTGTAAGGGATATGGAATGAACTGTCCTATTCTGCGAGACAAAGTGGCACCAGCATCAACATTGCAAGAGCCGAGTTAACCACGCCCCCAAACTCGGCATAGCCATCCATGTTACTCCTGATTATCATCTGTAGATACCTTTAATAACAAGACATGTACATTTCCGTAGATGCTGTTCAGATGTTTTCCCACCACAAGTGATCATTTCGGACGTCCACGCTCGTTTTTGTATCTATAATAGTTTAAGACATACTTTCAAACTTTTATTTAATGTTTCTACCATTTTTCACGCCTTTCTTCTTTTAGATCTGTATATGATAGGCAATTACGCTTCGGAGATAATATACTCTTCAAAAAAGGAAACGCAATACGGATATATTTGGCCATGAAAGCAAGATTAGCGGACTAAAAGGTGCAAAATGAAGAGGTTTAATGTGTGTCAGTGTCAGTGCAATGTGTAGTGTCAAATGTCCCGGATCAAATTGATCACAACAAGGACATGTATTCCATTAGTCGGGAAACACGTACGATTAGGAAAAAACGCACCCAGTGCATTAACAAAAGGGCCATGGAGCTGCACGTGCTGCACGAGCAGCAGCATTTTGAACGGTATTAAAGTGCAGGGTTTTTGATTGCCTGGCATCTGCGTCAGTGGAACGGTGACAGTTCAACAACATGCCAATATTAACAGAAGTGCAATGAAACAACGTCATAGGCCGCTGGCAGGCAGGGGAATCCCGATCAGCTGTAGCGAGGCTTTTCAATTTAGCGCTCAGCACCATCACAAGGCTATGGGATGGGTTTCAACAGCATGGGTCAACACGTGATCGGCCAAGGTCGGGACGACCAAGAGCAACCACCCCCGCCCAAGATCGTTACATCCGACTGCGCCACCCACGTGAAAGGACGACCACAGCCACCTCAACCGCATCCCAAATACCCGGACTGCGCAGAATCTCCGACCAGACCGTACGAAACCGTTTAAGGGCAGCAGGTCTACGAGCAAGACGTCCTTTTCGACGCGTCATATTGAATCGACAACATCGTCAACAACGAATGCATGGATGTCGTCAACACAGGGTATGGCCTCAACTGCGATGGAGAGATGTCTTGTTTAGCGACGAATCAAGATTTCTCCTCCGTCGTGGGGATGGAAGAGCACGAGTCTACAGACATCGGGGAGAACGTTACACCGGAAACTGCGGACAGGAAGTGGACAGGTTTGGTGGGGGTAGCGTTATGATGTGGGTGGATATCTCTCATCATGGCAGGACAGGTTTGGTCCATATCCAGGGCAATCTGACGGCTCAACGAAACGTCAACGAAACTCTCCTACCACACGTCCTCCCAATCGCAGCCAACGGCAACGGTGTATTCCAGCAGGACAACGCTCGACCGCATACAGCACGGATCACAAGAGCCTGTCTACACAACAACGTTGATGTTCTCCCCGGGCCCTCCAGATCCCCGGATTTGAACCCGATAGAGCACCTGTTGGATGAATTGAATAGACGGCTACGCCGACGTCAACCACAACCCCAGACGTTGAAGCAGTTGGCTTTTGCGTTGCAGGCCGAGTGGGCTACCATTCCCCAGGATGTGATTCGCATACACGTCACTTCCATGGCCGCTATCGATTCCAAAGGGGGACATACGCGTTAGTGATGGTAGCTGACCTTCACTTTGGACTTTTCCTATGTACCCATGTAACTGAGTTGACTACAATCACCAAGTGTTCTCTCCACAATATTTTGGCTCAATACCTTGTACGGTTCCTCGTATAAATGTATTTTCCTACCTCACACAAATCACACGTTTCTTTTTTTGAAGAGTATATATTGAGACAAAAGAAGTTTCATAAAAACTGACTTGAATAACACATATCACTTTGATCAAAGTCCTGTGTAGTTCTGTATACCTCAGGACTTCCTGAGTGGTCGGTCATGTTGCTTGATTGACAGGCAGCGATAGGTTCATTACTGCCTTTACTCGTGGTCAGTGTGAAGTGGTCAGTGTCCTTAAACAGCCAACATCATATTAAATATGAGTTTTCGATTGATTGTTGTTGAATATAAAAGCTTTATCTGGAAAAATGTAAATAAATGTGTCGAGGTCATGCTGTAACATAAATTAGCGTGGGAGTGTGTCTAACGTGTGTGATAAAAAGCATTTATCTCACAGCATTATCAAAAACAAGAGGATTTCTTTCAGGTGAAAGTGCAACTGATGAATAACAATCAAATTCGAAGTGAAATTATCTTTAATGGGACCGGCACTAACAAGATGTCCTGGTTTTCGCCTACCAGAGTGATCAACTCAACATGGACGGATCTCACAATGTCAACTTTCAATTATTTCAGTATCACAGGGTAAGTATTCAATATATTTATTAGAGACCGATCATTTGAGTTTCTTGGGGGAAGAAGGTGACCTGGGTTTTTATCGAAAAAATATATGTACCAAGATAATGCGCAAAAATTATTGATGCTTCAGACTTTTGAAAACAAAATACGTTGCCTGCCACAAAAAAATCATTGTTGCCAGGTGTGCGTATTTTCAAAAAAGAGAGAATATATAGGCTCTTAGTTTAAAGTTTTTAAAATGTCTGCTTTTGCAACTGTAGCTGAAAAGATATCAAGTGTCTTCACACAAAATCTCAGCCCCCAAAATTTCAGATGGTAGGTCCCTTTATATAACGAAATAAAAATTTATATTAATGAAATAAATTGTGAATTTTACACATTTAAAGTGCAAAATAAATGTTCATGAATGATATATGTGATCGAACTGAATCGTTCACAGTACAAACATACGCATTAACACTAAACTTTTAATTGTCGTGTACATGTAGATCTAACTAACATGTACAGCCATTGTTCAGTGAGTGAGTGAGTGAGTGAGTTTGGTTTAATGTGGCGGCTTTCAACTGTTACAGTATGTCAAATATATCACGGTCTGCCACCTCCATTAGGCAAGTGATGCAGATGTTAGAAGTTTATCACTCTGGTGAAATCCACGAGCACTGGCATTATGCTGAAAAACCTATGACCATTTAATCATGGTCTAGGATTCGAACCAGCAATCATACGTTTCTGGCACCACATAACGAACGTTACAATTGTGGCTCCGTAGAGGACTGGGCTTCCAGAAAACGCTGTGCTAAACTGACGGTGTCCGGACATAACCATGTACCTTTACATAAAGACGTGATGTACATGACCATGTACCAACTCATAAAGACGTGATACACCACAATGTACTAATCCATAAGACGTGACATACATAACTATGTAGTAATCTATAAGACGTGATGTACATAACTATGTAGTAATCTATAAGACGTGATGTACATAACTATGTACTAATCTATAAGACGTGACATACATAACTATGTACTAATCTATAAGACGTGACATACATAACTATGTACAAATCTATAAGACGTGATGTACATGACAATGTACTAATGCATAAAGACGTGATAGACATGACTATGTACTAATCCATAAAGACGTGATATGCATGACCATGTACTAATCCATTAAGACGTGAAAAACATGAGCTTGTATTAATCCATAAGACGTTATATACATGACTATGTAGTAATCTATAAGACGTGATGTACATAACTATGTACTAATCTATAAGACGTGACATACATAACTATGTACTAATCTATAAGACGTGATACACCACAATGTACTATTCCATAAGACGTGACATACACCACAATGTACTAATCTATAAGACGTGATGTACATGACAATGTACTAATCTATAAGACGTGACATACATAACTATGTACTAATCTATAAGACGTGATATACATGACTATGTACTTATTCTAAAAGACTTGATGTACATGACCATGTACCTTGTCGATAAAGACGTGATGTACATGACCATGGACCTAACCATAATGATTTGATATACATGACTATGTACTAAGCTATAAGACGTGACATACATGACCATGTACTAATCTATAAGACGTGACATACATAACTATGTACAAATCTATAAGACGTGATGTACATGACAATGTACTAATGCATAAAGACGTGATAGACATGACTATGTACTAATCCATAAAGACGTGATATGCATGACCATGTACTAATCCATTAAGACGTGAAAAACATGAGCTTGTATTAATCCATAAGACGTTATATACATGACTATGTACTAATTCTAAAAGACTTGATGTACATGACCATGGACCTAACCATAATGACTTGATATACATGAATTTGTACTAAGCTATAAGACGTGACATACATGACCATGTACTAATCCATAAGACGTGACATACATGACTATGTACTAATCTATAAGACGTGATATACATGACCATGTACTAATCTATAAGACGTGATGTACATGACCATGTACCTATCCATAAAGACTTGATGTACATGACCATGTACTAATCTATAAGACGTGACATACATGACTATGTACTAATCTATAAGACGTGATATACATGACCATGTACCTATACATATAGACTTGATGTACATGACCATGTACTAATCCATAAGGCGTGACATACATGAACATGTACTAATCTATAAGACGTGACATACATGACCATGTACTAATCCATAAAGACGTGATATACATGACCATGTAGTAATCTATAAGACGTGACATACATGACCATGTACTAATCCATAAAGACGTGATATACATGACCATGTACTAATCAATAAGACGTGATATACATGACCATGTACCTATCCATAAAGACTTGATGTGCATGGCCATGGACCTATCAATAATGACGATATACATGACCATGTACCTATCCATAAAGACGTGACATACATGACTATGTACTAATCTATAAGACGTGACTCACATGAACTTGTACTAATCAATAAGACGTGATATACATGACCATGTACCTATTCATAAAGACTTGATATACATGACCATGTACCTATCCATAAAGACGTGATATATTGGACAATGTACCAATTGATAAAGACGCGATATACATGGCCATGTACTCATCCATAAGACATGGTATACATTGCACATGGCCATTTGAAAAAATGTGACGAAGTTTTGGAATTATAGACAAGAGGATATCTCAATGAAACAGTCATTCCTATTTTCAAATAATACATAATGTAATTGTAAAATACACTCTTTATAGGCAACCCAACATTCATCAATACCTAAACTAATGTACCCTCAAAGCAATGGTCTCTTGACAGACATCCAACTACTCGTCGCTTCATGATCAGCCACTCCTACGATGGGTGCCCCAACGATATAATGTGGATGATGGTCATCGATGGTAATGGTGGAAGACACCAATGTGACTGGGATACCCCAGCAATGATACCCAAGTTCCTCTACACCACCAACAGCGAGATGACCACCACGGGGACGCTAACAGGTAATTCATGACGACATGTACAGCATATGTCAGCCCAGTGCCGGATCCAGTGCTCTCCAAATCAACACGCTATCGATGGATTGGACAGGCCCCTTTGCTTACGCGTTCCGTCCATAACTTCGCGGTAAATGCGGCGAATGGATCAGTCTTACTTTGTTGCATCTATGCAACGGCTCATTATTTCACATTATAAGATAGACCATGTAAAAATATACAAGAACCAATATATGTTTATTATTTGTAATTTGTATTCTTTTTATAAATACGGTTACCGAGACGGTGGCATCACAATGGCGATATATACAGATACAAAAAGGCCCACAATATTTTGTATAATCTGCGCAGGTATCCAAGACACCGATCATTTCCTATTGTGGAGGGGGTCTTGGATTATTTTGAAAAAAATAACAACAATTTTTTATCCAGACACAAAATTAAAGAAAATACTTGTCCCCAGTATTCCCTAAACATATATAATGTACGCATGACGAGCTGTATGCTATGACAAAGAAAGTTTGAAAACAAATGCGTGTTTTAAAGCCTGTTTAAAAGCAGTGACCGAATAATACCCTTTCTCTAATTCCACCACATATTGCCCCAGGATGCTTCTACCCCCCCTCTCCCGCCCCCTGAAAACTCTAAACACACACACACACGCACGCACGCACGCACGCACGCACACACACACACACACACACATATACACACACACACGCGCGCACTCACGCTCACACACACACGTACACGTGATATACATGACCATGTACCTATCCATAAAGACTTGATGTACATGACCATGGACCTATCCATAATGACGATGTACATGACCATGTACTAATCCATAATGACTTGATGTACATGACCATGTACTAATCCATAAGACGTGACATACATGATCATGTACTAATCTATAAGACGTGATATACATGACCATGTATCTATCCATATAGACTTGATATACATGAACATGTACTAATCTATAAGACGTGATATACATGACCATGTACTAATTCTAAAAGACTTGATGTACATGACCATGTACCTCGTCGATAAAGACGTGATGTACATGACCATGGACCTAACCATAATGACTTGATATACATGACTATGTACTAATATATAAGACGTGATGTACATGACAATGTACTAATCTATAAGACGTGACATACATGACCATGTACTAAGCTATAAGACGTGACATACATGACCATGTACTAATCCATAAGACGTGACATACATGACCATGTACTAATCAATAAGACGTTATATGCATGACCATGTACTAATCTATAAGACGTGATATGCATGACCATGTACCTATCTATAAAGACTTGATGTACATGACCATGTACTAATCCATAAGACGTGACATACATGACTATGTACTAATCTGTAAGACGTGATATACATGACTTTGTACTAATCTATAAGACGTGATATACATGACCATGTACCTATCCATATAGACCTGATGTACATGACCATGTACTAATCCATAAGACGTGACACACACACACACACACACGCGCGCACTAACGCACACACACATACACACGCGCACTCACGCACACATATATACACACACACACGCGCGCACTCACGCTCACACACACACGCACACGCACACACACACACACGCACACACACACAAACACACGCACGCACACACACACACAAACACACACGCGCGCGCGCCCGCACTCACACACCCACACACACGCACTCACGCACACACACACGCGCGCGCACTCACACACGTACACACACGCACGCGCGCACACACACACACACACACACACTCTGTCAACTATTCGACGTTAGCTGCAGCTGCTAACCAACATGCTTGCTTTTTTTCAGATTTCGAGTACGGAGATGTCATGGCAATTCTTGTAAAATTGGGCAACTGAGCACAAAACGCAAATAAATGAAACTTCACATTTTCATAAACGAACTAAAATGCCAGTATAAGTTCTTCTGTGACTTTGTTGTAAGCCAAGTCCATGTTCAGAAAGAGATGCACATGTGGGTATCCATTTGAACATGGATGCCACCAGCACAGGTGGCCACAATCTAACGCATGCTTGAAGGTAGAAGTATTCAGATGTCTCGTCAACTCCCAAGAGCCTCATCTTTCCAAGAATCATGATGTTCAGTCAAAAGCACATTTTCTTGAAAGAGAATTTTCTGTTAATAACCAATGGAAGTCATAACATCCACAACAATGAACCACACCCACACATGGACTCATGGATATTCCTTTGCTTAACGTTCACGCACCAGTGACAAAAAGGATGTCCGATGCAATTCCCTATATTGACTTGTACAATGTCGTCCCATGATGCTTCAGGTGAACAATGAATGGACTTGCCTTTGCATGTGTTTGTGACAAAAACCATTTCGCGAACATCTGGCATCATCATTATTGGATAGTGATTCATAGACACACGCACATGATAAAGTCGGAATCGTCAATCGAATCTGCTTTTAGATATAGACAGGGTTTTTTAGGTTTTATTTAGATTGCGGACAGGATTTTGTTTCTTTCATTCTTGCAAATGTGTTTGTAGTTACTTAGTCAGTTACGAAGGCTTCATTTACCATTTAATATTAGATCGTAACCAATTCACTGTTCAACAGGGTCAGAAGCAGAGATTACTACGCTGGAAACCATTATGGCTGCGGTCGTAAAACGCTCTGTATGTCAAGAAACATTATTGACGAGATCACAGGGAACGACTACAAATCAATTAACGCGTGATTCGATTTTCCTTCTTATGTACAAAATAAAATTATAAACAAAATATGCTAAACACACTTGCACGTGTTCATGAATGTTTTCCTTACCTTTTATGTGTTGGACAAAAACTTATGTCATCCGACAAAGCCTCTACAATAATGAATAGATCCAAACAATGATTCACGGCAAACTGATATGTTGATACCCATAGAGTGTGAGTGTGAGTGAGTTGGGTTTAACGCCGCTTTTAACATTATTCCAGTTATATCGCGGCGTGTCAGCTTGATGTGGGAGGAAAACCCGAAGTGATGCAGGTCTCAGAGGTTTACCACTTCGGTGAAACCCACGAGCACGGGCATGGTGCTGACAAACCTAGAAACATAATCGGGGCGAACCGGGATTCGAACCCACAATCATAGGTTTCTGGCGTGCTCAAGGGACGCAACTCTGCACAGCGAATCGCGGCGCCTTAGACGACTGCGCCACCCGTGCCCCAGACACACAAAGAGAGCTAAAGGAATGTCAAAACTTAAAGGGACTATGCTGGTCTGAGCGAGGTTAGTACTTCCATCTGAAACTGTAGCGAGGATGTTGTTGTTTAGGGTCAACCACGTTATTCTATACCAAGTATCAATATCGCCAAACTACGGTTGTCACACTTTCATTGCGGGCCTGAGAGAGCTGGCAGAAAGGTTCTGAGGCTAAATATGATGGATTGCGTTGATGGATTTGGTTGCTTATTATTTTTTCACTCTTGGTGTAGAAGGCTTCCTCCTGGTTTGTGTAAAAACGTCCTCCAAGGAATAAATGACATCCTCGCACTTTGCGTAGTTCTTGCTTCAAGAGGTAGACATTTGACGTATTTGACTTTAATTCGGAATATGCGCATTGAGTTCAATACCACAGTTATACATTGCAAAACAAGCCTTGTCATGCCCAGTTCTTTCCTCAGAATGTTCTCAACTTGCTCATGATAGAGTGAGTGAGTGAGTTTTGTTTTACGCCGCTTTTGGCAATATTCCAGCAAAATCACGGCGGGGGACACCAGAAATGGGCTTTGGTACCCATGTCGGGATTCGAACCCGGGTCTTTGGCATGATGAGCGAACGCTTTAACCACTAGGCTACCCGACCGCCCATGCTCATGATAGATGCCTACTGTATAGGCTATGTGACGTGTGGTGAGTCGTCAATCACCCATAATCATACCATGTTGATGAAAGTTTTCCTTAGCGGTGGTAGATCATCTTCGATGCCCTCTCTTCCTCTCTTGAACTCCGTTGACAGTGGCAAAGGAAGGAATGTGATCCCGAAAGGTTGACATCACGTCAGCATGAAAGGCTGTTGGAGTTGGAGTTGGCCCTTTTTGTTGGATATATATGATAACAGTATGGTAGCCAATGTTATAAATTTTCATTTTCTGACCTCGTCACTTTGATGCCTGCATGACTATGCTGCATGGTTGTGTATTTGGTTCCAAGGATCGCAGGAAGGCTGTAAGCATGGTGGGTTTTATGCTTATTACATAGAAACTATTAAGGTTTTACTCCATATCCTTCGTAGAAAGACTCAGAACGTTTTAACCACCCCTCCTACCACACATCTTCAGGCGGGGTTTATTCGAGTTGTTGTTTCAGGCTGTTGTCTCTCGTTAATCTGAATCTAGAAAGTGGCACCAGCTGTTCACGTAACAGTTAATGATTTAATAAAGAAGTCCCTTGGCCATGACCCTTGATCAACGAATCCGTGACCTGGAACATGTTAGCTGACATATGAATTATACTTCAGTGTTATCCCCCATGCGCGTTTAAAATATTTGCGTATCAGATCTCGGTTGTGAATATGTAACAAGAACAGCAATGTGTATCGTTGTTATTATTCTAGTCAGACGTTGGCTGTTTTCACTAAAGGAATGTTTCCCTTTACTTGTTGGTATAAGTTTATAAATATCGCCTTTACAAACATGAACATTCGTTGTATATATAGCATATATAATGGTTGTAAATGTGGCATATTTATAATAAAAAAAATTGGTTGCAAATGTGTCATATTTATAATTTTAAATAATCATTTTAAATGTGGCCTATTGATGATAATACATAATTGTTGTAAATGTGGCATATTTATTATAATCGTTGTAAATGTGGCATATTTATAATAATAAAGGACAGTTGTAAATGTTGCTTATTTACAATAATAAACATTTGTTGTAATTATGACATGATAATCGTTGTAAATGTTGCATATTGATAATAATAAATATTCGTTGTAAATGTGGCATATTTATAATAATAAATAATTGTTGTAAATGTGGCATATTTGTAATATTAAAGAATAGTTACCACTTCGGTGAAACCCACGAGCACGGGCATGGTGCTGACAAACCTAGAAACATAATCGGGGCCAACCGGGATTCGAACCCACAATCATAGGTTTCTGGCGTGCTCAAGGGACGCAACTCTGCATAGCGAATCGCGGCGCCTTAGACGACTGCGCCACCCGTGCCCCCGATACAGATAGAGAGCTAAAGTAATGTCAAAGGGACTATGCTGGTCTGAGCGAGGCTAGTACTTCCATCTGAAACTGTAGCGAGGATGTTGTTGTTTAGGGTCAACCACTTTATTCTATACCAAGTATCAATATCGCCAAACCACGGTTGTCACACTTTCATTGCGGGCCTGAGAGAGGTGGCAGAAAGGTTCTGAGGCTAAATTTGATGGATTGCGTTGATGGATTTGGTTGCTTATTTTTTTTTCAACAGACTCTTGGTGTAGAAGGCTTGCTCCTGGTTTGTGTAAAAACGTCCTCCAAGGGAGAAATGACATCCTCGCACTTTGCGTAGTTCTTGCTTCAAGAGGTAGACATTTGACGTATTTGACTTTAATTCGGAATATGCGCATTAAGTTCAATACCACAGTTATACATTGCAAAACAAGCCTTGGAAACAAGCGCTTGAACCTTTGTCATGCCCAGTTCATTCCTCAGAATGTTCTCAACTTGCTCATGATAGAGTGAGTGAGTGAGTTTGGTTTTACGCCGCTTTTGGCAATATTCCAGCAATATCACGGCGGGGGACACCAGAAAAGGGCTTTACACATTGTACCCATGTCGGGATTCGAACCCGGGTCTTCGGCGTGATGAGCGAACGCTTTAACCACTAGGCTACCCGACCGCCCATGCTCATGATAGATGCCTACTGTATAGGCTATGTGACGTGTGGTGAGTCGTCAATCACCCATAATCATACCATGTTGATGAAAGTTTTCCTTAGCGGTGGTAGATCATCTTCGATGCCCTCTCTTCCTCTCTTGAACTCCGTTGACAGTGGCAAAGGAAGGAATGTGAACCCGAAAGGTTGACATCACGTCAGCATGAATGGCTGTTGGAGTTGGCCCTTTTTGTTGGATATATATGATAACAGCATGGTAGCCAATGTTATAAATTTTCATTTTCTGACCTCGTCACTTTGATGCCTGCATGACTATGCTGCATGGTTGTGTATTTGGTTCCAAGGATCGCAGGAAGGTTGTAAGCATGGTGGGTTTTATGCTTATTACATAGAAACTATTAAGGTTTTACTCCATATCCTTCGTAGAAAGACTCAGAACGTTTTAACCACCCCTCCTACCACACATCTTCAGGCGGGGTTTATTCGAGTTGTTGTTTCAGGCTGTTGTTTCTGGTTAATCTGAATCTAGAAAGTGGCACCAGCTGTTCACGTAACAGTTAATGATTTAATAAAGAAGTCCCTTGGCCATGACCCTTGATCAACGAATCCGTGACCTGGAACATGTTAGCTGACATATGAATTATACTTCAGTGTTATCCCCCATGCGCGTTTAAAATATTTGCGTATCAGATCTCGGTTGTGAATATGTAACAAGAACAGCAATGTGTATCGTTGTTATTATTCTAGTCAGACGTTGGCTGGTTTCACTAAAAGGAATGTTTCCCTTTACTTGTTGGTATAAGTTTATAAATATCGCCTTTACAAACATGAACATTCGTTGTATATATAGCATATATAATGGTTGTAAATGTGGCATATTTATAATAATAAATATTGGTTGCAAATGTGTCATATTTATAATTTTAAATAATCATTTTAAATGTGGCCTATTGATGATAATACATAATTGTTGTAAATGTGGCATATTTATTATAATCGTTGTAAATGTGGCATATTTATAATAATAAAGGACAGTTGTAAATGTTGCTTATTTACAATAATAAACATTTGTTGTAATTATGACATGATAATCGTTGTAAATGTTGCATATTGATAATAATAAATATTCGTTGTAAATGTGGCATATTTATAATAATAAATAATTGTTGTAAATGTGGCATATTTGTAATATTAAAGAATAGTTGTAAATGTTGCTTATTTACAATAATAAACATTTGTTGGAATTATGACATGATAATCGTTGTAAATGTTGCATATTGATAATAATAAATATTCGTTGTAAATGTGGCATATTTATAAGAATAAATAATTGTTGTAAGTGTGGCATATTTACAATGATTAAAAAAAAATATGTGAAGTTTAAACGAGATACGGCTTTTCCATTGGACGAGAGGCCGGTCACATGACAGCGAAACTGACGTTCCGAAACGTATGAACAATCCCTGGGAATTCACAAGCACGATAACACAAAAGCGTTGTTTCTGATCATTTAGACCTTTGATCTTGAACTAAGTGTTTCAGCATACACTGAGAAAGGTCAGAGAGTTTGCTTGCGTGATCGTTCACGAAAATCCTCGCTACGACTCATCCTTGTGAACAAAATGAAGAAATGCACTTTCAAACTACCGTAGTATCGACTCGATCCGTGTCTAGACTGACAGTGACAGCCATTTATAAATTTACTTTAGTACCTGTTTGACATATGTTTACAATCACCTTTCAATGATCGGCCTACGTATCAATGATGACTAACACTTGTGATCGCAACAGATTCATTAACACCTTCGAAAATCTTTCCCGTCACGTTTATCGTGTCGGCCATTTTGACATCTTTTACTTGATGTAAATGTATTACGACGCGCTTTCATTGTGACTAACTCAGTGAGGTAGTTCTTAACATGACAGGTCGCGGGGTGCGTTTGGCAAGCTTGTTGTCAGTTGGCTCGTACATCCAGCATCTCTACATGGACTTGGTTCAAATTTGGTGCCAATGTGCCCGTGCCATGCAGACCCCATTTGATATTGGTGTCCGTGTCTTCATCTTCAAAGTCACGGGGGAAAAAATGG